ACAAGATTTAAAAGAAAAAAATGAGAAAATACAAAATTTGTTCTCTCCTGACATTTGATAGCCAGGCTCTTTTTCAGTTAGAATAGTGAATTAGTAGTTTCATTAACAGCATTTATGATTAAACCTTTAGGAAACATGAAAATACAGTGAGATTGTATTTCTTCAAGTGGGCTAAAGTTAAAAAAGTTGCTTAATGTTACCAACTGAACACAAAGAGGAAGACATGAAATCTAGAATTCCATCAAGTTGTGCCTACATTCCCATTCCCCAAATACAACATCAACTTACCTTTCCATCATCTGTGACACTACCGTCAAACAAGTGCTTAGGATTTTCAGGATCTGTCCAGCATAAAATATCTTCAGATTGATCCGTACCGAGAAAATGATAGTATAGCTCATGATTAAGGTTAGAATCAGTCTCTGTCCCAGCATCTACATTTTCCCCCTCTCTACATGATGAAAATACCATCACCTTATCTTCAATTTTCAAAATCCAAAAAGTCTTTACTCCAATTAAAACATCATTTTTACTTACTTGGGTGCCGGATAACGACTATAGAAAAACCCTTTGTTATCATGGGTCCAGCTTATACCTGAAAACTTCACCTGTGAACAAAATTAAGATGCATAGTAAGCTCAATATTCACCAACAGACATTTCAACTAATTACCACACACAAAGTTCAACTAGCTCACCCATGATAAAGTATCAGGCTCAGCTGACTTATCCTCAACTCGCATTACTTTAATCGTTACCCAGTCACTGCCACTAGAACTAAGCCCATATGCCAAGTACTTAGCATCCTCACTCACAGACAGCGTGCTCAACGACACCGTTCCATCCTCACTAAGCGAATTGGGGTCAAGCAAAACCTCTGCTTCTCCTTCCAAGCTATTCTGAAAAAACCCAAAATCAGGTCAGCTCCTGAATCAAAATAAAAAAGAAAAAAACCAACACTTTTGAATAGAATTCTTGGATTACAAACCTGGACATAAAGGACATTTTGAGCTTGAAGTCCAGTGTTGTGGGAGTAGAAATACTTGTTGCCTCGCTTGAATGGAACATCGTAACGCGGGTGATCAAAAAGCTTGGTAATTTTATCACGAAGCTTATCCTTTGCTTCGCACTTTTCAAGCACCGATTCAGTCAATTTTACCTGTTTCTGAACAAATTCCTTTACTTCCTCGGCATCAGGATCTTCAAGCCTATAAAAGAAACATCGAATAATAATTTCACAATAATTGATCTAAATATGAATAAATTAAAAGATATATGGGGAAAATTAATGAAAAAAGATAACCATCGATAAGGGTCGGCAATCTTAACGCCATGGTAATCGTCAACGACAGAGTCGTCTCTGCGAGCATTTGGATAATCTAAAGGCTCATTGAAGGCAGAAACCGAACCCATAAATCTAGCAGTCGAAAGGGAACAGACAAGCTGGAGATTAGAGAAAGGGCTGTGACTATGGCGGTGGTAGCTCTTCGGCCCAGCTGAGACTTTTAATAACAGATTGGGACCGACGTTTCTCAGACGGCCCGTAAAGCGGGGAAGATTAATAAGGAGCGAGGGGCTAGGGCTAGCGTGTAGAATCATCTAATATCAAAAAAGGAAAGGGAAAAGAAGTCGTCCACCTTGTGAACACTACTAAATACACTGCCATTTCTAGTTTTCTTTGGAAATTTTCGCCATGAAATGGTTGTCTTTGGGCCCGGCGGAAATAGCTCCTTTAAGTGATGCCGTTTTGGCATCTTGAATCTTTTTTTCACTGTTAGTAGTAGTAATTCTTCCCTGAAGAAAGAAAAAGACAGCCTCGGAAAATCTACGCTAGAAATTGGGGCTTGTCAGTCGAATCCAAGCAGAAGTTTTCAATAATAATAAAAAAAATCTACAATTCCTTTTATATGAACTTATCTTTCATTCGGACTTTTGTTTATTTTATTATAATTATTTACAAGTCAGTTGTCATATCTTTTTCTATTTCCAGTGTTAATTTACGTGAAGTGAAGTGGACAAAAAGACAAATTTGATGACAGCTTCTGTAGTTGATCAGTTTTAGTTGGTTTCTGCTTTTTTATTTTAGTTGAGATTGAGAGTAAGAATGTAAATAATATTTTAATATTAGTAAATTATTTGAATTTGATTTGAAAAAAATTTAAATTCGATTTGATTATTATCGAGTTGAGTTTAAGTTCAGTTCGAGTAATTTAATTTATTAATCGAATTGAATTCGAATATTTTTATATTCGATTTGAGTAGTTCACAAATTTAATGAAGTTTTTATATTTAAATATATTTTTATTATTTTAATTAATAAAATATTTTGACTTTAAATTCGAATTTGAATTCGAGCATAAATAATTAAACTCTTATCAAGTATATAAATCGAATTTATTTTTACATATTAATCGAACGAACTCGAATAACTTAAATTCGATTAAGAATTGAGTTCGAATTTAAAAAATAAAATTCGATCGAATTTGAATCGAATATCGAATTTCGAATTATAAATCGAATTTAAACTTAAATTTTTTACTACATCAACTCGATTGGATTACAACATAATCGAGAGTCATGTTTTGCCTTCATATATTCACAACACAACACATATAAGTGGACTCCTGACCTGTCTTTTAAGATGTGGTAGCAACTGCCAACTTGCAATTGCACTTGTCTCAAGTTTCACTTTCAAGACAAATGTTTTCAAGACTGTAAGCTCCTAGGTAATTCTCCTGCCACAGATATATACATATAAGATGAGGTGAAGACTGACTTCTAGTTTGCCTGGGCTTCCCAATCATTAAAGAATTAGAAGCCCTAATGGTGAACAAATGATTTTTCTGTTGACATCTGACAGATTCTGGCCTTAGTAACTTGTCTTAGCCCAGTTCATAAGAGTTTTTTTTTGTCCTTTTGAATAAAAATAAACTGCAATAATCTAAACAATAGATTTTGCTATCAATTTTTATTCTTTATTTCTTAAAAAAAAAAAAAAAAGCTTAAAACTTATACAAATTTGACTCTGACATGTTTTCAGCAAGTATGATACAACTTGAAACAAAATGGTAAATATGCGTGAAGCAGAATCCCAACTAGAAAGAAAAAAAAAAACTAGTTTTCTTGTTACATGAATATTTACAACTTACCAAACGTTTTTGGTTAATTACAGTGTCTAATTTTTTTTTTTCATTTGAGTTCTTAGCCCCATCTTTTTTTCTTTTTTTTTTTTTGTGGGTAGGAAATCTCATATTCACGGCATAGCGAAGCAAATAGGAGCATCTCAAAGTTAGTAAGGGATTGGGGAATGGAATTACGAGGTATTACTGTTACAAAGTGTTAGTTCCGATTATAAATATGAATTAATATTTGATACATTAATAATAAATATATTTTATATATTATCAATGCTGTTATTTTATTACTAAATAATTTTAAAAATTTAGAAGCATTCAAAGATAAGTATCTTTAAATTTTTTTTCTTGACACATAACTGCCTCTTCCTGCTCAAGCTTTTGAGCAATTTCTGCCATGTCCGAACTTTTTACCTTAGTAACCCAGAACCGCCAAAAACTCATCCATTCCACAGTCTTGTTGGGCGAATTCTTCCTCCCAAATCTTGGTCTTTCCAGTTGTAGAACCACCGCAGAGGGATGAGCTACCAACAATTATGAAAAACTGTTGTCGAAAATGATGAGATGGCAGGCCTGAGATCAAGATTCAAGAGATTTCTTGTGTTGTTGGCTAGTTACGAGAAACTGGATTTGGGGATCTGATAATCTTTGATACTTGCTTTTGGGTAAGGGACGAGAAAGGCTTAGTACTTTTGCTCTTCCATTAAAGATTGTTGAAGGCCGAATGTGGTGGTTGGAGCGGTGATTAGTTGTGATTGACATGAATCATGATGGTAGCTAGGGTTTGTTTGGTTAAATTGTTTAAATTAAAGTAAAATTTTCCATTTATCTAATTTTTTTAGTTATAATTATAACTATGAATATTACTTTTATTCAATATAGTAATATTCACTTTTACAAATTTTAAACTCTTAAAATTAAACAGTCGAAATTTATAAATGGATTTGTCAAATTAATTTAAAAATTTTAAGTTATGATTAAGTTTTTATAGAAAATAAAAAATATAAATTAATTTTTAAAACAATGTTCAATAATAAAATTTAAAAATATTTATTTATGAGGATTTTTAATTTTTTAAATTTTTTATTAATGAAGTGATACTATTTAATTAATTGATAATGTATGTCAATATATTGTGTATTAATCTTATAAATATTGTTAAATAATAATAGGTGGCAGCCATCTGCTGTTTTAATTATTCAACAAAAGCAGCAACCACCACTTCTTTCCAACAAGTGAAGACTAATCTTCTTCCAAAATTAGTAAGAAAAAAAAACATGGTTGAATAAACCAATTTATATGTTTCCTGAAAGCTCAATCAAGTTACAATCAGCTCATACAAATCCTAATACTTGATTAGTTTTTTAGTCCCAGCATGAACATAAACATAATTGGAGTATATATGCCAATTCCCTAACTCACTAATGAAGACATAATTAAGTTTATATAAAGAATAATAACTGGTAATGGACCATGGACCAAGATTTGACACTATTAATGACTTCCAAAAGCAATCCTTGTCCCATTCATTTTATTTTTGGAGATCCAACTCAAACAAATCATCAAATTAAAAATCCAACCATAACATTAAAGTTGAAAAAGAAAAGAAAAAAAAAAAAAGGCAAAAACATTGCTCTGCATTGCATTAAAAGGAGACATAAAAATGGTGGGGACTCCTTAACCTACGCTTTATCTATGTACCATCCCGTTAACAACCTCAAACTAAGCTCATCCACGCAATTAAATATATCACAACAACTGTACCTCCTACGATAATGTCTTCTTGCAAAAGCAATTTCAGCACGTGACAACACATCTCCAGTTCCTTCACTGAGCGTGCTCGTCACGCTCCATGATCCAACGTGGGGCAGTCATCACCCGCCAAATAAAAACTGAAACCGCCACTGTCTTCCATTGTGGGGGACTGGTTAAAGCTAACAGCAAAATGAACGAGATAGCGAAATAAAGAAGCGGAGCACTGTCCTCCTTGAAGCTTTATTATTTGCTTTCTCTTTTCTCAACTCCACTCTACTCAGCCGTCCGTTAACCATTCCTTCACCGGAAAAGAAAACCGTACGGTCCCTTAATGCTGGCTTGGACTTGATAAAACTTTGGAATTTTGTTGAGCAATTGATCTTGAAGAATGGCTAGCGTTTCGTCTGAGGAAGATTTCAGTCAAACAAGCGAACGGTTCGAGAGTTATAGTTTGAGCGCCGACGTGAGCGAATCTGAGAGCTCAAGTGGGTTTTGTTGTAATCGTTTTGACCAGGAAGGCGGTTCGAGTTCTTTGACCTATTCGCCGCTCGCGGGACCAGAGTTCGTTGATTGTTCTAGCTTTACGGTGCGGGTTCCTGTGATGTTGCCGGTTGTTGGTGGTAGACACGTGACCATTCCTGCGAAGAAAGCAGAGGTACCGGAGACCGAAATGTCCGGTGAGTTTACTACAACTCGTGCTCATGTTCTTTTTAGCACATTCTAAATTGAGAGTTGAATTTGTCGCTTCGTTGAAGGTTTTGGAGGAAATTTTAGTTTATAACGGTGAAAACCGAAGACTTTGAGTTGAATATTTTGCTGCATTTGCTAACATATTATTTAGTTAGTGACGGTTGTTTAGAGCCGTTGCCGATTTTGATCTCCTAAAACCCTGTTTGGTTGGATAGTTTTCCGTTGATTATTTCGTTTTAACTCGATACCAAATCTGCTAGGAAAAATAGGGAAAATATAAGGCAAGAATTCATTTTCTCCAAGTTTTCTGATTTCTTCTCCTTTCTGGTACAAAGGGGACTTTTGAGCCGAACAAAGCCTAATAAAATGAGAAGATCTTCTGCAGAGTCCGAGTTGATTTTATCACTCATCTATGTTAATTTCTTTGGATTAGTTGTGTTTCAATTACTATTATTGTTATTGCAGAAGTAGAAATGATGAAGGAAAGGTTTGCTAAACTTTTGCTTGGAGAAGATATGTCAGGTGGAGGGAAAGGAGTTTGTACTGCTCTTGCCATCTCCAATGCCATTACAAATCTTTCCGGTAATTAGTTCTTATATCTGCTTTCATTTTCTGTTTTAGTTTATTTTCATTCATCATTAACTAGAAGTTGAAGTCCAAATCAATTCGGTAAATTTTTGCAGCTTCTGTGTTTGGGAAACTGTGGAAGTTAGAGCCATTATCACCACAAAGGAAGATGATGTGGCGTAGAGAGATGGACTGGCTTTTGTGTGTAAGTGATTCCATAGTGGAGCTTAAACCATCATTGCAAGAGTTTCCAGGTGGGGGAACTTTTGAGGTTATGGTGGCCCGGCCACGCTCAGATCTATATGTAAACCTTCCAGCGCTCAAGAAACTTGATGCAATGCTGCTAAGCATTCTTGATTGCTTTCATGACTCTGAGTTTTATTATGCTGATCGTGGGGTAGTTGTTTCTGATACTGATGAAATTGAGACATTTCCTTCATCTTTGTCATCTGGGAGGCCTTCTGTTAGACAGGAAGAGAAGTGGTGGCTACCATTTCCCAAGGTTCCCCCTACCGGTTTATCTGAGGATACAAGGAAAAGATTGCAGCAGTGTAAGGAATGTACACACCAGATCCTTAAGGCTGTTATGGCAATTAACAGCAATGTTTTGGCTGAGATGGAAATCCCGAATGCTTACCTGAACAGCTTGCCCAAGGTAATGAGACTGTGCTCTATAGTTTGTAAAAATTATTCCATGTGTCATGAGATAAATTGTAACGAGATGAAAATGGATATTAGATGGGGAATCCATGAGACAAATTGTGTCTAATTTTCATGCATTGTTATGTTTCTGCTGGAGGCAAAACCCTTTGGTTCAGCGACCTGAAAGTGTCATTTGGATCTGAAGTTATCTAGTTCCCACAATTATCAATTCACTATGCTGTTTGACTGATTATTTTTAGGAAACATATTATTGCTCATGCATCTCTTTGTTTCCATTTTTCTTTCTTTCTGGGTTTCAGTGTCCTAATATATTACTTTTTTTGAATGGGTTTTTTGCTTGTCTTCCAGTGTGGGAAAGATTGTTTGGGTGAGGTAATGTATCGTTACTTGACTGCTGACCATTTCTCCCCTGAGTGTCTTCTTGATTACTTAGACCTGTCATCAGAATATACTACTCTGGAAATAGCAAATAGGATCGAGGCTTCTGTGCATATTTGGAAACAGAAATACTTGAAGAGGCACTCACTTCGTGCAAAGGTTGGAAAGTCATCATGGGGTGGCAAGGTCAAGGGTATTGTTGGTGACGTGGAAAAGAGTAAGGTTCTAGCTAAGCGGGCTGAGACACTCTTACAGAACTTAAGGCTACGGTTTCCAGGCCTTCCACAGACTTCTTTGGACATGAGTAAGATTCAGCATAACAAGGTACTTCCTCTAATTAGCATGAATTAGTATTGAAAGCATTCTAGTTCTTGTGCACTTGTTTGTCTATTTTTTAAGATGACAAGTGATTTTATATTTATCCAGGAGTAGGAAAAACAATGATCTGGTTGAATATTAATGGAATTTGAACGAAGTCAAAGTTATATATAATTTGGAAGTTTATATGGAGCTAACTGTTTTGAATGGAATTCTAATTTTGGCATGCATCCTTAAGTTAAGTAGACAAACTGAGGGAGTGCTGTTATAATTTATATGGTTATTTTTTTGTCTTTCTGTCATTTGGTGAAGTGCTCTAATATGCTAAAGGTAAAGAGATCAGAATAAATTTTTTTATTTTTGTAGGATGTGGGACAATCAATTCTTGAGAGCTATTCTAGAGTCATGGAAAGCCTAGCTTTCAACATAACGGCAAGGATTGATGATCTGCTATATGTGGACGATGCCACAAAACAACGTGCAGCAGCAGAGCCAATATCTCTTTTTGACCAGGGGCGATTTGGTGGTGCTCTTCCTAAACAAAGGTGGACGTCACTGAGTCCTTTCACATTTCAACATGCTCCTTCTGGGACTCCATGTGCGATGAGAGCATCCTACTCTTCAGACGAAATAGGTGAAAGCCCTGATAGGAGGATTGCAACTCTTTAAATAATGGCAGCCTGAGAGACTCACTGGACGGCTCGCTAGAAAGGCTAGCTTTTTGACAAGCGAAAGGAAAAACTCTTCCATAGCAAACCTGAAAACCTCAAACAGATTCTGGTATGTATTACTTGTGGATTAAGACCAAGATAGCCTATAGCACCCGATGCAGCTGAAAGCTGATTTATGGTTCTGACAGGTAGTGAAGACAGATTAGATTGAATCTTGTATATATTCCTTTATGATTAGACACACAAAGTAGAGATTTTTCAGACACTCGGGGATATTAGTTAGCTGGAACTCTTTAAAGCGTGACAATTATAGCAGGAACTATTAGTAATTTTCTTCTGTTGCTAGACTGGACAGACAAGTATCTTAAACAACCAAAACTTGGCTTAGCCGTTAAGATAATTTCTACGGTTTCAAGTTGAATCCGTTTTTCCTCCTTGGACTTCCTCGTATGTATAAAACTATATATTAAAAAAGGTAGGAAACTATTCTGTCGACCCCAGGCCATATTTTCTATTTGATTTCTTAGATCTATTTGCACTAGTTTATTGTTGTTAGATACGTGGCCAAACGTATTCGTAGCATTATTACCAGTGCAAGCTCTTTAAAGGAAAAAAACAAAAAAATCCACTGCATATTTGCTTTCAACTTATGCGAAACCATTATCCTTGAACCAAGTGGAATGGAAATTGAAATTCTTTACCTCATTTTGAATTTAAAAATTGAAAATAAAAGAAGAAAAAGAAAAAGAAAAACCATTGGAAGCTATTAATGGGGCGAATCAAGTATGGCTCAATCTTAGAAAGAAGAGGCTTTGGGCTTTAAAGCCACTGAATAGCCCACCCTCAAATGAACGAATGCAACGTCCCAACCAACGAACCTGCTTGGCCCAGACAGACCTTTTTATTTGTTTTCCTCGTTTTTTTGGGTTTGTAATCTCATCGAGGGGCCGAACCTATTGCGGGAAAGAATGATTTTTTTTTTTTTGGTAAAGCCTAAATTGAGGTGTGCCGTAATATTCATCCGAAATCTATAATTTTTTGAAGAAAATTGAGGTAGTATTTTCTTATTAATAGGAATTTTCAAACTAAATTATTTTTAAACCATAATTTTACAAATCCAATCATAATGTCGAGCTGGCTTTAATATAGTAAACCAGTCTTCCTACATAATACTAATATTTAAAGATTTCTTCATTTATATTTTTTATTTTTTTTATTTTATCTGATGTTTTCATAAAAAATTCAATAAATATAACATTAAACTGGAAGTAATTCTGTAGGTAGATCTGAACTTTTTTTTATAAAACACTTTTTTCTTTAATTCTTTTTGTGATAGAAATATGGTATTAATTCCGTGAGATGTTATTGCCCCTCTTGGATTAGGGCCCATAAGGAAACAAATGAAGGAAAAGAGACTTTACTGTTGAAAAAAAAAACCTTTCTAAGCAAGCTTTTTGCAGGAATCAGCCCCAAAAATAACCCAGAGGATCAGGAATGGCAAAAAACACCTAAACTTTTTTTTAAAAAAAAAAACTTGTAAAAAGTAATGGTCCCCTTTGATTTTGAGTACCGTTAACAATCTTTTCGTCCCCTCTTATTGAGTCGTATCCTTGACCAAAATTCTTAACGCATTGACTAAGTATAAGCAGCATATATTGTAGGTAGTCAGCTGCTGGCTCCACCCCATTAACCTCAAAATCGACGATGACATGCCATGGACGAGCCACCGTGGTGCACTCCCCCGTGTGGCGCCCAGCTTGACAACTATCCTTCGATTCTGAGCCCTGGAAAAGCTCATGAAAACCTACAGAGTAGAGACCTAATGAAACTGTCACAAATCACAACAAGATGTCAAGTACTTTTTTACTATCGAAATCTCATTTCCTTTTTCGTTCTCTTACTTTTAACCGTTCATTCTCTTCAATCTTTTATATCTCTAACCGACCGTCATAATGAAAGCTCAATAATTTACCATCAGAGTTCAGGGATTAAAGGAAAGAAAGATGGAAAAAAAGTAATAGACTGAAAATATCGCTGTCCGGTTACCACAGTTGAATTGTGTGATTGGATGTTTACTTACCAGAAAGGCCGGTGGGATCATTTTTTTTTGTCAAAGGATTTTTTTACTTTTGTTTATGTTTAACAATTAATTAAATAGGATTGTCAGTATTTCAATCACGAGGCTACGTATAAGGGTTTTGAAGAGTGTACAAAACGTATCCAGTACTAGGGCTAGCTGCCCTAAAATAAGAAGTCCTGAGCTACAGATTCAATAGTTAAGTACATAAATTCATAACCGGCATTGTCAAATTGGTGGCAATCATGCATGAGGCCATGAACATAAAAATATTCTTAATTTGCTTTGATTTTAATCTGATAATCAAATGATCATACATTTACATTCAATATTACAGTATCAGACAGTTTTTTCAAGAAACAATAAATAAATTCAAAAACCTTCAAAGGAGTCATCATTTGGGTCTCATGAAACTCTGACAAAACTTAAAATTTCTGTCCTTCGTATTTCGATGATAATTATGCAATTTCCACCATTTAGTTTTGAAGGGTTTACTTGGATTTTGATATCAATTCAACAGATCCTTCTATCTTTACAAATTGTTCTAATCATGGATCTTTCCTGACTCAGTTGCATACAAAAACAAGAGGCTGATAAAACCCTAGATGGAACACAAGATAGCAGAACTGCAAAACAGAAAGAGAAGAAAGACTTCAAGTACTATCCGATGGTTGGGAAAGAAGAAGAAAAAAAAAAAGCGAAAATGAACATGTAAAGAAAACAACTAGCTAGGGTTCTCAATTAGCAGTCAAAGCCTCAAAGGAGATCTAGAATATGACCAGATCAGAAACAGATAGAAGCTTGTGCATCATGTTTCTCACCCCCTCACACCTCAGGAGTCAGTATAGAACTGCTGACAATCAAACTCTACAACCAGCAGAAGAATGATGAAGGTGCCAAACAGATTGTAAATTTTTCTTCAGTCTATTTTTTTTTCTTTATAATACCTTTTGCAAGAGAAAATAGTAAAGTTCGGGTTATCTAGCTCGAAGATATAACAAGAACGGTCAGAAGCTGCCACAACATGATCATTCATCACTGAAAAAATAGCATAGAAAAGAATAAAACTGCAGAAATATGGAACGAAGATAATCATAGGATATGCATGGTATTTACCTGGATCTTTACCAAAGGGAGAGAGAAGCAGGAAGAGAAGTATCACAAGGGTTTTACAAAGAGAAGCCAACAGAGCACAGTTGGCAGTATGCCCACCTCCATGAAAGATAAGACGGGAAAATAAAGGGCTTTTTCTACGATTGGAGGTGGACAGAATGCCAATAAACTCTGTAAGAAGCCCTTTGCTAAATCCCCATGAAAGCGAATAGAAGTCCTTGTATTCACCACTGAAAGACACGCGGAACACACACATGCAGAGGAAGAGAGAAGAGTGTTAATGACAAGAGAAGCAGGAGATTAGTGTAGGGGCTGATGGGTTCTCCTATGTAAGATGAAATGAAGGAAGAACGGTAAATAAGAGAGATAAGGAGAGAGACTGCCAGACAGAGCGATGGGTGTAATTAATTAAAGAGAGGGAGGAGAAGGAGAGGCGGTTTCAAACTCAAAAAGACGGATAAATATAATCAGATTGGATGGTTCAATTCCCCTATAAGAAGGGCATATTTAGAAGGATCAAAGGTCATCATCATGGTTCTTCCTTCTCTTCCCTCCTTACTGGTGAAAAACCCACCTCTCCCTTCAGTCTTTTCTTGCGTTCCTCACTCACCCTCCACTACTCCCCCCCCCCCCCCCCCTCGTTTCTAATGAACAAAACCCCATAAGTTATAATACACACCAACGCACTATCTCTCTCACTGAAACTGAAGAAAAATTGCTTAAAAGACTTCTTAGTAATTGTCTGACCAAATAATGACAAAACTAGAGCAAAATCGGCTTCAGATACATAGCAGCTTTGTTCGAGTGAAAAACATGGGTTTTGCTACGGTTTATGATCCCAGTCCTTTCATCTTTTAGAAGGCGGATAGGAGCCTGGCCATCTGTCACCAACCATCTGGACCCTGGAGGAGGGCTGAGCAGGAAAGTATTTTTATCCTTGGGAGATTGAATTGAACTATTGAAGGCATGGAGAGAGAACTAATTAAGCATAATTAGTGGTTTTAATGGCATGATCGATGTCAAAAGTTAGAGCAACTAAAACCTCCAATTATAGTTGTATTCACCTTATTGGCGATTACATATAACGTTTATCTCCATGGATAGGCCATGCTCGGATGCTCCCCAACAATGTATTGGACAAATTAAATAGTCCTAATGGTTGCATATTCGTGCTACTTGGCATGAGAAACTGATCATATGTATTAACAGCGTTTAATCAGATGACTTTTTTGGTTCCATTGGAAATAAAATTAGAACTAAAATCTCAACTCAAACGAGGCTGATGAAAATATTTCGCTGTCCTTTATAAGTTGTACCTCGAAAAACAATGTTAAGGTGTGTACATTCTTTTCCTGACTCAATTATTGTCAAATTTTTGGTCTGTGAGTGAGAGTTTCACTGATTAAGCTTTCATTTTTTTTCAAATTAAACTTGTCAAAGTCCGGGAGTGCGTGATTCTAATTTCGGGAATTTCTTGATTTAGTCAAAAAAAAAATGATCTATGTAAGAATGATTGCACACGTTGAGAATTAATGGCAGCTGAGAAATATTCAAGAAATGATCTCTAATAGCAATATGGTAGAAAAAAATGTAAGTGACACTAAGTAAAGCTTAGAAATTACTGCTTAAGCCAGTTTCAAATTTAGTGGCAAATCTCCCACCATCAAGTGGAAATTGAATCCTAAGCCAATTGCACCATCGCTTAGCTATTCATTTATGAGAAAACGACACCTAGCTTGAAAAACCAATGATTGAGCACCAAGTGCATTTGGTTTAATCGAAGAAGAAGGAAATTGAACAGTAACTTTTAATTCTTTGCTAGCTAGCTAGCTAGCTACTACTTACTGATCAATATCACTCACAACTCACAAGTCTCTTTCTTTATCTAGTATTTATGGACTTTGTTTCCTCTTGGAACATGGCATATTATTAATTTGCTTGTATGGAAAAATCCTTAATCGTTCACTAAATTTACTGGTCTGGACTGGATACCTGTGTTTATAAACTTTGCCTCTTGTTTCTGTCTGATATTGGTTTGTAAACCAAAATATCTTACGACTTTCAAATTTCAATAGTTTTAGAACATTGATGAGAGACAAATTACCCAGCTTGAAGCTAACCTGATGGAAAAGGAGCCAACTTCTTAAGTTTCCAATT